GTATTAATGTATATATACTAATTAAAACTATAAGAGAAATTTATTATGAGACAAGAAATATAGATTTTCTGAGATTTGGAAAAAACTAATTAGCAATTTCCAACAAGTATTTTTAAAGGTTATAAAATCAGGTGCTGTTGTTTGCTCTCAGAAATATGATATGAAAATAAATAATAAAGCTATAACTATAGAATTTCTGAGTGCTGGCTTGGCATCAAAAGCAAAAGAAGATGAGCCCCAACACATGTTTAATATCTCCTTGAAACCTTCTAGAAGAGAAGCTCTCCCAGACCTCCCATTATCCTGTCTCCATGGTGTCATGATCTCAAGGATAAATGCATACTAATTCCTTGGATCTATTATATTGAACCAAGTTAAAATTAAAATTTCTTAATGATTAATATTTTTTACTCGAGAATATAAATATAAATTATTAATTTTCATAAAAATTATGTTATTCTCTTTTTTAGTTCTTTCTTTTAATTAATATTTTTATTTTTATTTTTGCTGATCAATGGTTGAAATAAAAACCTCTAAACTTAATGGCTATTATTCAAAGTCATTACTGTAAAATTTATTGACCTTATTGTAAAATTCACCCACTTCCTGATACTATCTAATCTAACTTTGATTGTATTTCAAATGTGCTTATTTCCCTACAAAACCATACATATACTTTCAAGCAAATGGTATCAATAGTTTAATTGGGAAGGACTTATTTATCTCCAAGTTAAAATTTAAAAATTTAATTGAATATAAAAAACATATAAAACTTACTTAGATATTTAGTCATATCATTATTACTGGAAACGTGTCCTATTGAAGTTAGAATTGCAAATCCTTGTCAGCTTAGAACTAGACTTATATTACCAGTATATATAAAGCAGCCAGCAGCTTACATGCTGAAGCCCACTTTCTCTATTTTTCTTCTTCTTCTTACAAACAAGAGTACCTTGAAAGCTCAGTATTCAATCTGAAAGTTGTGGTAAGTGAAACTTCATGTTCTATGACGAATTACTTTTGGGTTTTGTGTTGTCTATCGGATTAATTATAAAGTTTAATCTAATTAGGGCATATGACTTAAATTGCTAAGTACTGCATTAATATTATCATGAGTACATTCATAGCTTTGGGAGAATAAGACAACAAGTACTAACATCTTTTCTTTTAAGGGGAGAGACAGAAAAAATTTCAACTTTTACCAACCATCGTCGACATTATCTAGTTCAATTTTAGAAAATTTTTTGAAAGATGGTTTAGTGTTTGAACCAATAGCTAGAATACCATAACGAGACTTGAACTAGAGTGGTAGAAGACTTCTATTGGCATAAGGAGACTAGCTTTGTTGAGAAAGTAACCCAGTACACTTACAAAAGAGAGATGGCTGCTCACCAAAGCTTTTGGCAGCTTCAATCTTAACTGTTTCTTTTTTCCATATTGGATGTTGTTTGCTAACAAGAATAATGATGTTGCTACTTGAAGAGACAGAAACTTTGATACAATGGCTGAAACCAGGATGGGAAGTAAAAAACAGAAATCGGAGACTACTTACAACAAGGAGATGGCACAAGTTCAACCCAACTGGGGAGGCATGGACGACAACCTTTTGCAGCACGTATTTCGATTCCTGCCTACTAAAGATTTGATACATTCAGCTACCTTAGTTTGCCATAACTGGAAGTTAGCATGTTGGGAGTTTTTGTTTTGGAAGGACCATGAGACGCTTGACATAAGCTCATTGAGGACCCTACTTGGACCCCGTAAGGTAGATGATTATCCGGACTACATCTTTACATTCCCTCCTTTTTCAATAATATTTCTTTGGATCTCTCAAAATAATAAATCATTATCATGAACAGCCTCTGCTTAAAGGACTCAAGTATGTGATGAAATTGGATACAAAGGAAGGCTGCTGCCCAGTTCGTATTAGAAACATCATATTTTCTACTCATTTGGATATGAAGTTCTACCATTTGGCTTTCGTTGCGAAGAGGTATACCTGTATTTCATCTCTCTTTATATATAGTAACGCATTCGTATGTGTCGTCCGTCAGGTGAGGTACGATGGGAAGGGTTTGTCACCGCATCAAATACCCAATTGGCGATTCAATGCAACAGGAACCTTTCCCATCATATCCTTTGTCAATTGATTTTAAGTTAAATGTATGCATGTTAATATAACACAAATTAAACTCAGATAATTGATTTGTATTGATTTTAATTTGATTTACAATTTTTTTCTGATAGACTGTGTTATCTTTTGCTGAACTTGATTAGGTCACCAAAGCTTAGAACGCTGGTGCTACCAGGAGCATGTGATATCACCATGGATCTTATTTCAACGATCATTAAAAAAAACTGGGGAGAGCTTGAAGAGTTGTCCCTTGGACCACTTGCACATGACTGTTCGGATCGTTTCTTTCAAAGAATATCCAATTGCAAGAACCTGACTAGATTACACATCTTTGGCTCACCTTTATCATCAACAGCAAGTCGTACACACTTCATTCTAGATGAGAACAACGCTTCGATCATAGCAGAACATCTGCTGCAGCTCAGGGTATTCAACATAGACGGAACAAAGCTGCACAAATTTGGTGTGGAGACTCTCTTGTCCGAATGCAAAAATCTGACAGAACTTAACTTAAGACATTGTCGTGGAGTCGTTGATCCACCAATTTCTTTCTTAATCCTAACCCCAAAAATGAAATTACTGCGGAAAACTTTGACAGTGAAGATCAAAAGTGGCAGCGTGAAGAACTGTACCAAGACATGGTTCACTTGTTCATCAGGGGATAGCTCACTTTGTACGGCGGAAGAGTTGGTAAATCAATTGTGGACAGGGGATGTAGAAGAAATTGTTCGTTTTAAACTTCAAATTTTTACGAAATTAAATTTGATTTGAGAATATAAATGTAAATAATTAATTTTCACTTAAAATAAATTGATTTTTTACGGTAGTTTTTATTTATTTATGTTAATATTTTAACAATAATTATTTTAATTTTAGGATTTTTTAAATTCAGTTGAAATTTTAAAATATCAATTTTTATTATAATTATTTATTATTATTTATTTATAAATTAAAAATTTTAAATGGTTAATTTTTTTGTTTGAGAATATAAATGCAAACATTAAGCCATTAGCAATTTGCTTAATTTCTAAACACCAGTAGCTAACAAAACAAAAGAAATTTGTCTTTCCAATGATTGAATTACAACATAAACAAAAAAGGCACCAAATTTGAAGCTTTTTTGAAATTTTTTTTGCCACAAAACAACTGTAACCCAAAACCCAATTGGCCATTTTGTTTCTATTTAATCAAAACCGAATAAAATCCATATATTTAACAAAATTGAACAGAAAAATCCAAAGCCAACAAATTTCAGAAAAGAACAAAAGAGGTTTTAGCTTTAAGTGAAAGGAAGCCATAATTTACCTGATGCAGGAACAATCTTTTGATGAGAATAAGAACAAAGTGAGATTGAAACTAAGATAATAGTTTAGTTTCATTGAGCCCTTTGCAGCCCAATCTCGTGAGCTACCACTTCCATAATCTTCTGCAGCTAAGATAATAGTGTCCTGCCCTGCTGGCTTATAGCTCTGCAAGTTTATGATATTTCTAAATTTGGTAAATATGGTCTAAGCTGAAGTAATGTATTTCTAAATACCAATACTAACACTCACCATTGCGGCATCATGAATATATGTCGAGTTTGTATCCCAAGAGAGGAGAGCGAAAGCAGAGATAGCAAGCTGATTCCAAATAGGATTGCCCTTTCTGATAGCTACATATGCGCTCTTGAACATACCAGGCAACACGCTTGATTGAGCCAAGTGTCAGGGAATGGAGGTACACATTATTTTGGCTTGCAATGTCAAGACAATATTTGTCCATTTTCTGAAATAATTTCTCCAAGCGTATCATATTTTACCTCTGCAATCTCGTCATTGCTAGGCCATAAATCCCTGAAATACACGCTCTTACCATCTTCCTGTTCCTATAGGCTCTTTCTCAAAGTCAATATCAACCTGAAAGTATGACAGCAAGGAGTAAATGATTCAGCACCAGATTGCAAAGTTGCCAAGCATGTTGGCAAATACAAAATCAGGTACCCTCTTAAACTATAACTCTTCCAACTTCAAACTTGAAAATCTGGGTTCATGCTGCATTTGGTGTTTTGCAAAAGCCAAAAGGCCAAGCGGTAACACAATTTGCTCCTAATTTTTGGAACTCAGTTGCATGAATATTGAATTGTATCAACTGGATTGTCCAAGTTTTTGAAGCATGTCTACCCTTGAAGTAAATTAATAAAACTACTTTATGCTGCGCTTATATTCTTATTCAGACCAGCAGAAGAACGTGGATAAGACGAGTAATGGTTGTATACACATACCGTGCCAGCAAGGGCATAGGCAACAACTAATGGAGGTGAAGCAAGATGGTCAGCTCTTGTCAGTGGATGAACTCGACCTTCAAAAGTTCAATTCCCAGAGAGAACAGCCGCAGCAACAATATCTATAACAGTAATCAAGATAGTAATGAGTGAAGTTGAATGACAGTAAAATGTAGCAGGTGAAAATTGGTGAAAGCAGATAATTGCAGAAAAGCCAGTAAGAACCGATAGGGCAAACATAGATCAGGATGGTGAACCAAAGAGTTACACATGCAACAAGCTTGATTTGAAACAAGTTTAAGGAGTAGCCTATTTTCTAAACTGAGAGCATCAGCAATTCAGAATATAACTTGCTGCAAATTTAACTAAAGCCAAAGCAGAATAAGCTTTTAAGTATTGTTGAACCCAAACTGACAAGAAAAGCTTTAATCCGAAGCTCTCCTGGCAATTCCTAAGCAATGAATGCAGCAACTATTAAGTAATGAAGAAATAGTTTTCCTTTTGTCTTGATGGTTAGGATTCATATAACATTCTGACCAAGAGATCAAAGGTTCAAAGGCTATGATCAGAAAGGGTTTAAAGGGTTTAGGGTTTTAAAAAAAATGTAATGAAGAAACAGTTTTCCCTGAAACACAAAAATATTTTACCATTTTCTGAAATTGCAGAAGCAACTGATTCATCAAGTTCTCCAGAATTTTCTATACAAGTTGTAGAACCATAGCCAACAATATTAAAGCCCTGCGGGTTCAGGTCTTTCTGCAACCCACTGCAGACACCAAAACAAGAATCAAATATAACTATTTCATAGATATTTTCTTGTCTTTTTAAGAAAGAAGAGAGGCAACATCGATAACTAACTCCACATACCTCTGGAGCAAATATTTTGTCACAACTCCAGAACCAGGAGCAAAACTGGTCTTAACCCATCGCTTAACCTGAGATATATAATAAAGTGAAATACATGAATACCAAGACTAACATACTGTACAGAGTAACGTATTTAAGAAGCTAACACTAACCTCTAAACCGACCTCACAGGCCTTCTTAGCAACAAGTCCAGCCCCAAGCATGACACTAGGATTTGATGCGTTTGTACAACTTGTGATAGCTATAATGACAACGCTACCATGCTTAACCATGCAAGAATATAAAAAGAAGAAAGAAATTAATGCAAGAATATAAAAAAAATATAAAAAGAAGTAAAGAAAACAACAAAGAAAAGAATGCCAGAATATAAAACAAATATAAAAAGAAAAAAAATCTTCAAGAATCTGTCAATTGGGGTTGCTTCTCTTCCTCCTATCCCACCATCTATTCCAAATTCCAATGAGGCCGTCTCCAGCGTAACGACCTCTTAATCGTCTTTCGTCCACAGGGATATCTTCATCATCACTTGTTAGCTCTACATTACCACTTCTTCTTCTCCTTCTTTGTCCCCACGGTCTAAGAACCAAAGGGCCATGAGTTCTTTGTTTCTTGCAGGTCCAACTACGCGTTGGTTTTCCTTCCTTATTTACCAGCATGCCTGCTATCAATCTCTCTGAAGAAAGTGGAGGCGCTAAGTCCATGTCAATAAAATTCAAACGAGTTCTTGACCTCTTCATGGCTTTTGGATGAAAAAGAAAAGTAGAAAAAGAAAATGAAAACTAGCTTTCTTTAGGGTTTGTTAATAGAACTTGGTTTGAGTATGGTTATTGTACTTCATAAATAGAGGATAAAATTTTTGGGTTTATATAGCAATGCACGACTATGCCAAAATAAGTTGGTTCCCTTAGTGAAAGAAGTGTTCACAATTCTTGCTTCACAAATCAAAGCATATTTCAGCACTTAAATTTATTCGATAAGTTGATTTTTTTATTTCCTTATATCTAAGATAAGTTGATCGAATTTTTGGTATTGTGATACTCTCTAGATGGAAATGAACAATGCTTATATACTTTGTGCTGAGCAGCCATTATCAATCCATCTTCTGTCTATGCAATAATAACCTCTAGTGCTTGCTTCCCCAAGAAAACTGTAATTTCAATCTTGAGATTGTGATATCTGTCGGCCATGAAAGGGTTTACAATCCAATGAACAACCCATCTTTGAAGAGGAAAACAAAGCTTGTTTGCTCACGTCAAATTTAAATATGATCTCATATGATAGATCTATTATGAATGATGGTTCTAAATTTAGGATATCTTGTATATAAATTTAAATATAATAATCTCAAGCATTATTTAAAGGTGTTTTTAGGAGGATGGTGGTCGATGAGATATCACAGGGAGCGGCTTCCACTGGCTGTTCCATGCAATAGGAACACCTCCCCACCATACCATCCGCCCTCTTGAAAGACACTCCAAATCTAATTAGAGTCTCTTCATTTATTATTAAATTGAATTTAAGTTGGATACACACTCTTAAATTTAACACAAATTGACATTTCAAAAAAAAATTAACACAAATTGACTAAAAATTTTATAACAATATAGCACAAGTACATGAAATACAAGTTTTTTCACCAAGCTTTTCAAAAGTCAATTTGATTCTAGATTCCCACCATATATACTCCTAAATTAAAATTCACAAAAGAAAATTTTGCAAAAATTGGAACCTAAAAGGCTTTATTTATAAATCATACAAAAATTAAAGCACAAGAATAAAAAAATTAATGCTATATGATTGATAAGATCAAAGAAAATACTCTTTTTTATGCAATATTTTTTTTAAGACATAATATCTAAAAAAGTCCTTAAACTATTTAGAAAATTTTAAATAAATCTTCATTCTTTTATTACATTTAATTACGTCCTTATATTTTTATTTTGAGTCAAATAAATTTTTATATTTTTATACGTTCAATTAAATTTTTGAACTTTTATTTTTTATTAAATAAACCTTTACGATTATTTTTTTAAAAATTAATAAGTTTTTACAATTAATGGTTGATTAATTGTCACTAGTGAGAACGTTACTTGTTATCTTTTACTTGCATGATGTTGACATGGTATTGACGTAAAGGGTAAAAAATGTCACATGATTATGTGATCATATCACATTAACATGTTATGTTGTCATTAATTATAACATGTCATATTAATATCACGTGGTATAAAATGATGAATGATATTTTAATTAACAACGGTTAATGAGTCATTAATTATAAAAGTTTATTTAGTTTAAAAATAATATTATAAAATTTTAATTGAATACAATTAAAGAATCAATTTTTATTTAAATTTTTTAAAATTGTTTAGGGGTTTTATGTGATTGCTTTATCATTGGCATTTCAAGCCTCCTGATTTCTTTATCATTCTTTGTGCCATTAACTTGCAAATGCAAATGAACTTTGTATCTACAAGGCTTTCATCCAAAGGGGAAAATGTGTGTGCAAGAGGTGCAATAAACTTCTTAGTATCATGTTATAACTATATATGTAAACATGTAATTATAGGCAACATAATTATTATAAAGGTAACATTACAAGTGAACCCTCAAATCCCTCCCTCCTAATAAAACCTTTAGCAGCCTTTTATATCATCTAAGCTGTAACTAAAACCTGTAACAACCTTTTCTATCATCAAACATATATAATTGTCTTTTTTATCATCAAACACTTAGATGTGTAGGGTGCTCTTTGATGTTTCAAATTATAATAATCTTAACTCATTTTCAGCATCAAGTTCTTTAAAACATTTAGATAAGTATAAAATAATAAATAATATTTCGAAGGAAAGTTAATAAATAATTAATTATATAAATTTATTTAATTTAAAATAAAAATATATAAACTTGAGTGAATATAATAATAAAATAAAATTTTTTAAATTTTTTTAAAAATTTTTTAAATTTTTTTAAAAATATTTTTAAATTTTTTTTAATATTGTGTCTATTTTTAATTAGGTTTTGATGCAATAAATTAAAAGAGAATGTTGGAGAACAGTTCGTTTTCATCCCAAAATTGAAAAATTGCCAAATGTAACCCCAACATCAGTAGACAACTATCTTTTCAGACATTTAAACAGACCCTTGTAATTTCCAAGGTTGGCAACGCAAACACAATCTCTTATACCTTGGCTTTATTTTGTTCCGGTTTGGTCTTTCTTTTCTTCCTTTATATACTCCTCCATTTCCAAAATTTTCCAATGCTTCTTCTATTTTACACAAATACAAAACATTTAGTCAACTCTTCTTGAACTTTCTTTCACATTTCACAGCTTTAAGGTAAAAATCTGTGTTGGGTACTTGTTAAAAACACAAACAAACTGAAAACTGTTACTGGGTGTTTTTTTTTTGGTTTTGGTTGGTTACCAAGAAAAATACAAGAGGAAGTGTATGGTTTATATAATAAACTCTATCCTACGAATCCAAATATATGTGGACTTGGCTTTGTAAAGGGTACTGTTCTTTCGTCGTTTTTGTTTGTTTTTCTTGGCAACTGACGCCACAAGGAAAAAAACTTGAGGTCGTGGTTTAAATTTGAAGCCTTGTTTTCTTCTGTTTTCTTTGTATTTAATTCCAGACACAAGAGTTATTTGCTTTCGATGACTGGTTTTGGTTTTGTTTTTGGTTTTTCAATCTTCTCTCATATTGGCCCTTTATTGGTAGGAGTTGATAGCTTTGATTTATACTAGGATTTTAGCTTGAGGTTTTTCTCTGTTTGGTGACTGAGAAACTTGCCGGAAAGAGAAGGAATTTGATAATTTGAAGTCTTTGCATTTGTTCCTTATTTAGTTTTCAGTGAAACAGAAAAACTATAATCTTTTCTTTTTTCTGTTTTCTTGTAGTCAGGTGTTGATACAAGGTGTTAACTTGCAGTTTCTCAGAAACTGAAGAAATTTCTTACATAATCAAATGATTTCTATTGAAAAAGTTCTGTTTTTGCTGCGTTCAGGGGTAATCTCCATTTGAGTTTGATTAAAACCTTGCCTTGACTTTGACCATTGATTAATGGAGAGCTCTGGAAGTGGTTCTCTCTTGAGGAACAGAAGGTTAGGGAGCTTCCTTGATACAAATTATGATCCAACTGTGAGAGAAACTCAGAAAGTTTCGAGCAAAGGAGCGGCAAGACAGAGGCCTAAGACTGATGATGCTTTTGTTGATGATGACGGATGCATTTGTTCATTGATATCTTGTGTAAGGATTGTTACATGTTTCCTGACAATGATGGTCACAACATTCATTTGGGCATTAATCATGCTCCTTCTCCTTCCTTGGCCTTCCCAGCGAATTCGGCAAGGAAATATTTATGGCCATGTGACTGGTAGATTGCTGGTAAGCTTTGTTTGATTCCTTGTTTCATTTTAATATGGTCATGGCATTGGTTTTTTTACTTGCTGGTGATATGATAAGGAGGAAATGGTAATTATTGCTGTACTAGAAGGAAAGTTGAGGAAAGGGGAAGAGAGAGGGAAATCTTATCATTTCAGGTACTGGAGACATTTGAAGTAAGGCAGCCAAGTGGCTGAAGTAGATGTCGTTGATAATTATTTTTGTTTTCTTGGGGATTTAAATGATAAAAACAAAGCAACAGTTTTTGTTATGAGTGACCTGGTAAAACAATCAAACAGTGCATCATTCAAGTCATTTCTTGCCTTTGAGTGTATTTCTTTAGGCTATTCCTTTTGTCCTTCATTTATTTGAGGAAGATGGTCTTGATCTGTGAGATGATGATTTTTCTGATTACAGTTATAGGTTATTGATTGTCACCAAATTTCTGTATTTATTCCTTTGCCTAGAACTGAGAGTTCACCACTTGTCATTTGAATTTATGAGAAAGCTCGTCTAGAAAGTGTACAATAAATTAGTGTTTTTGGATGCCCAAGGCACGACTGTTCTTTCTTTTCAGTTGTGTGTTCAGTCGTGTGGACAAGTCTGAGAATTTACTCTTGCAAATCTTGATATGTGGCCACAACCTGTTATAAGATCCTGGTATATAGTTCCTAGCAGCGTCATCCTATTGGAATTTGCCGGTGTGGGTCCTTTATTCCTTTCTTTTGTTTTTTGTTTCTGTTTTCGGGGGTGGGGTTGGTATTGGGACTTGGAGGATGGAGGCTGGGGAATAGGACAGGTGGGACACATGTGATAGCATTTGCAAAACAAAATGAAAGGATTGGATAGGGTCCTAATGGAGAGAAACTATATTTTTTGCATTTAATGTGCCGCAGGTTGTGAACTTCTGCAGTCAACTTGTCTCAGGAAAAGACTGCAGTCTGCCCTCCTTGTTCAATTCTGTTTAAATTGAGGAAACAGATGATATCCTGTAGTGACTCTGTGCATAACACCCTACTCGCCCTCTTGCTCCCTGATGAATTAAAATCTACTTGAACTTGTTGCATTATTGAATGACAAATAGTTTTAATCTCAAGACATTAGGAAAGATGTATAAATTAATGATCTCTATGTTGACAAGTCCCTAATTGAGCTTTAATGAAATCAAAGTGATACATGATCAATATCTTTGAGAACATAGCAAGAGATGAACATTAGTTTAAACAGCTTAGCAGCTTCATACAAGTTTTTACTGCCTCTGTATTGACTGATTTCACTGTTTACAGAGAAAGATGTAATTAGAAATATGCTACTCTTTGATGCTTAAGAACTCAAATCTTTAAGCAAGATGCACAGTCTTATTATGTTTTTGTAAATTTACATTGAGGTTATTCTAGACAATGTCATATATACGTTACAATTGAATTATTTCTACTGTTTGAAAATTTCTGATATAGCATCCTGCAATTTATTTAGTTGAGATGGAGGCAGTTCCACATTTGATTACTATTTGCAATAATTGATTGCAGATGTGGATCTTAGGAAATCCTATAAAGATTGAAGGAACAGAGTTCTCCAATGAGAGAGCCATTTATATCAGTAATCATGTATCTCCCATGGACATTTTCCTCATTATGTGGTTGACTCCAACAGGGACTGTTGGCATTGCAAAGAAAGAGGTGCAATTTCTCTCTGTCTCAACCTTTTTCCTTTTTGTGGCTCATTAGTGGTTTAAGCTTAGGAGATCCAGTTTCACTTATGGAATGTATTTTATGCAGATCATTTGGTATCCACTCTTTGGACAACTATATGTTCTAGCGAATCATCTCCGCATTGATCGATCTAACCCTAGTACAGCCATTCAGTCCATGAAAGAGGTATCCTTCACTACCTTATATCATCTATTATGCATTTTTGTTAGTTACTAGCTTATGTTTTTCTCTTGCTCAGGCAGTTCAGGCTGTAATAAAGCACAACCTATCTTTGATTATTTTTCCTGAGGGCACAAGGTCCAAAAATGGACGATTGCTCCCCTTTAAAAAGGTAACATCCAAACCATGTTTGCTTATAATCTTCTTCAAGTTTATGATGAAGAAGCATTTAGTTGGAGGTCAATCATGATTTTATATGTTATCATGCAAGTGATGTGGTCATCCCATTGCTCATTCCCTGTACTTCTTAGCAAAGCAATCTTCAGTATTTCCTTTCCTGGTCTACATTGCAGGGTTTTGTTCATTTGGCCTTGCAGTCACGCCTTCCAATAGTTCCAATAGTCTTGACAGGTACTCACCTAGCATGGAGGAAAGGTAGCTTGCATGTTCGACCGGCTCCTATATCTGTAAAATATCTCCCTCCGATAAGTACTGATAGTTGGAAAGCTGACAAGATTGATGAATACATTAAAATGGTGCATGACATATATGTCGAAAACCTCCCTGAGCCTCAAAAGCCTATTGTATCAGAAGACACCACTAACAGTTCAAGATCATAAAATATGTTACGATGCCTCTCTTTTTTATTTTTTGTTAAGTTTCGAGTCCGATTTACGCCTGTGTAAAAGCAAAAATAAGCCTAATTGAATCTTTACTTCTGCCGTAGAAAAGCATTCTTGATCTCATTGTATCATATTGCTAATTCTCTAGCAATTATCTGGCCAAGTTCAATGTGCAATAGCATATTGTTTTTTGGGTGCATGAGTTGTTTATTCTATCATTGCCTCATATTGAGAACCATATCTCTACTTAAGTTCGAGTTTTTTAAGGTAGGATTTGGAAGTTTTAGCCATGGACATGGGAGTGATTCATGGCAGGTTTACAATAGAAGCAACTATTAAGAATGTGCATAGCAGTAGAGTACAAGCACAGTTTCCTTTACCTTCACTTCTTCAACTTCTGATAATTTAAGATAGTCTTTGCATAAATTCTTCTTCCATCTATCTGACCTAGATAACCCAGTCACTGGATACGATTCCAGCACACAGGTTCTGACTTCATTCCAACAGGAATTTACTTGCTATGCAAGTCCAAGTTTTCTTTGACAAACCCCAGGGAATATGTTATTCATGAAACAGATAAGACAGCCTGCAGAAGGACTTTGTATGGAATGCCAGACAAGGACTTTGTATTAATCAAACAAGACTTTAAGACAACGGTATTGTTAATTCAAGCTACATGCATACCCAAGATTTTGTTTCGTCCCACTTGTTTTTCTCAAGCTGTGATTAAGCATATAATCATTAAATTAATCATAGTCAAAGACAAGACATAAAGGGTTTAGAAACAGTTCACAGTGTGTCATCTGATATTAGGTTCACCAGATGACAGATCAAAGCCAGAGAAGATATGAACCATCAAATTTATTGCCATCTTCATCCACGTCATTAATGTATACGAATTTCATAGCATTTTCTTTCTTTTCAAGAAAAACGAATAAGGGTAAAGATGTTAACAGGTAAGGTATTATTATGTTATTAATATTATAATTTGAATTTTAAATTACTTAAATTATATAAATACTTAATTAAAATTTTAAATTATTATTCAAATCCGAATAAATAACAATTTTATTACTCAAATCTTATCCAAACTCAATTATAAAATATCTTAATCTTATTTAATCGGATTATATAATACAACTAATATCCTTAAAAAAAAAATGGGAGACTGTTGAACAATTCTTCCCATTAAAAGAAACAAAGCTGACTTGGTCTGGTCACCAACTCATTAAAGCAAGTGAAGCTATAATTATTTTTTTTAACTTTACCACGTTAAATATGTGTTGCATCCACCACTAAGCAAAAAGAGAAATGGAAGTTGGAAAGAGAGTTGTACTTTCATACTTTCTTGAATAAAGGCAGGCAGTATTCAAAGGCAGATACACTGCTTGTGCCAGCCTCCTCTTTTTGGTAATTAGAGAAAATAAGAAAAATAAATAGAAAAGGAAATACAATAATACAAGTAAATAATATCAATTTTTGAATATATTCTATTTAGTTATATAATTTTAATGATAAATCCGTTCATAATTAGTTAATTTTAATTATTAATATCATATATTTATAAAGTCAGGTGATATTCAGAATGAACATTTGATTAATTCGATTAAAATAATTTTAAATTTTTAAAAATTAAATTAGTTAAATTTTTATATAAAAATAATTAAATTAATTGATATAATAAAAAAAGAAAACCGAACCCGATTTTCTTAATTACACGTATTGAACAACGAAAATCAATTCTCTTAATCGATTAATATTCATTTTTAGCAAAAAAGAAAATAATTCAAGGAGAAAAAAAATTTCATTATTTAATTTATTTTTTTTTAAAACTTGGCGAAAATAGCTCTGCATAGGGACCCACCTCAACCTACGTGTCAATCCCACTTCACAAGCTTACCTATATCAGGGTTCAACTTCATAAAATTAGACCTCCAACCGTAGAAGCCCACGTGCCAAGAATTTAATATGAACCACCATTCTGTATACATGGCATTGTTTCATTGGACCGTTTTAGGAACCTTGTAAACATCGTTGTGACTTTATCTATCCTCACTACCAAAACACCTGTACCTCCTCCTAAACAACAAAAGGTTAATCTAAATTTTGTCTAAATTGTTTTTCTCTTAATCAAAATTTTAATTTGTCTTAAACAATCCAAGGAAAAATCTAAAAAAAAAAAGAAAAGAAAAAGAAAAAGAATAACCCAAAGAAACAGAAGCAAAAGACAGCATGAAGTAAAGGTCAGCTGTTTTTCTTTTCATCCCTAGTTTCGTGTTACAGTGTAAGAAATCTAATTTTTTTTTGCTAAATTTAAGGTTTTTGTCTTAAAAAAAAACTTTGGGTTTTAGTAATTTATCGTTTTTGTCCACAGTTTTTCTTTCTTTTTATTAACTTATGGTTTGATTTATGTTTTTTTGCAGGATATTTCTTTTTTATTGCGGTTGTTGAAAATGCAGTGAAAAGGTCTAGACTTTTTCACTTTTCTTAATAGTAATTCATGGAATCTTTGTTTATTATCATTGAACATTTTGTTTGAACGGTTTTTATTGTTGCTTTATTACTCTTTTGACTCAGATGTTAGGCTTTTCTTTGGTTCTATGTTACTGTTACTGTGCATGTATTGCTTGGATGTAAATTTCTTGTTTTTAATGGACAAAGGTTCTTTCTTTATTGTTTTTTTTGTAATTTTAAATTAATTTTTTTCGGTGAATTGATGCGTGGTTTGTCTCATAGATTGCATGCATGGGGTGAGTTTGAGGTAAAAAGAAAATATTTGCATGAAGCTTTGTTATTCATTTTGTCTGGAAACAGTGTTCACAAATCCAGCAAAGAAGCATGTTTATAATGTTTATCTTTAGTCTTCAATGGATCGAAGTCGGGGGTGGATCTTTATCATGCTGTTTTTATCAAAATCATATGCCCTTTTTAGTTGTGGAAATTTTGAAATTGTTAGAACAGTTTCAAACTTCTTTAGTCTAATGTTTAGCGATACCAATGAATAGTCAAGAATATGTTTAAAAAGGCTCTATGAATATTTGAAGATATCTTTTTCATTTCTGATAAAAAATTAGAGGCTATTTTTTGTCGTAGGAACACAAACAGATAGATCGGTATTGAAATATGTTCAGCTATGATTTCTGGATTGTTATTCCTTCTGTACTTAGCTAATTTAACATGTTAGCCATGATTTCTGGTCATGTTGCTTTGAGGGATCCATATATATTGCATGAGTATTATTGATAGCCATATGCCCTATGTTAGATAATTACCTTAGTGTCTGTTTTCAGTTTTTTGTTTCCCTCCCTGTCTCTGCTCTAAATTTTAGTTTGAAGCTGATTCATGGAACTTGCATATGCTGCATTATGACTAATAATTATCTATTTTTAGGGTTTAAGTGTGGAAAACAACGATAGCTTTATTAAGCTTGTAGATTTTGTTGTCTTTTCTCCTTTTTGTAGTAAATAGGAAGCAAAATAGATCAAATTATGTGGATTTGTAAATTATTAAATTTAGCCTTTCATAAATGCCCTTTTAATATATTTTGTGTTGGTTGTTAATGAGTTTTTGAACATGCTAGTAAATGATACAATGACTTCTCTTCAGTGAGTGTGCCCAACATGGCTTAACGTGAACCTCCAGTTAGGTTGAGAAGGCAGCGTTCCTGCCTGATGGTTTATGAAGTTGAATATTTGCTTTGCATGTGTTGATTAAACATTGTTGTTCTTGGTACCTGCTTGGTTATATAGACTATAATATGGCTGCCCATTTGTCTTCCAGGTAGGCAGCAGTGTTAAGATCCGTGGAAAAGACAGTTTCTTTGCTGCAAATACTATGATGAATCAAGAGAACGATCAGGAGAATAACCCTGATGCATCAGCAGATGTCCCACTGAAGCGCAAACGTGGTCGTCCGAGAAAATTTCCAAAACATAATCTATACCAGGGGGAGAATGCTCAGACTGCAAGAAATCAGAATCCAAACCGTGCAGAGAATATTCGTATCCCTCCTTTATTTGAAAGGGTGAATGGGAATCAACCCCTTGAAGCAGATCCAATCAATGATGCAAATGATGTAATGGTGGGTCAGGCTGTTTATGGTGTTATTGAGGCAGCATTTGATGCAGGATATTTGCTCACCGTTAGGGTTGGCAACTCTGACACCACTTTAAGGGGTGTGGTTTTCAAGCCTGGACATTATGTTCCTGTTTCAGCAGAGAATGATGTGGCTCCAAATGTTGAAATGATCAGAAGAAATGAGATTCCCTTCCCAAGGGGGAGGAATGAGCAGCATGTCAATTCTCATAGGAATGGAACTGCTCACCCATTCAATGAACCAGGTATAGCCAACCATGTGCCACGAGCCCGGGCTTCAAATCTTGGGGGCTCAAAAAGCAAACATGTGCAGTCGGTGGCAACACAATCTGATTCTCCACTAACGTGCAGAGGCAATTTGGTGCCTGTTGTGCACCAACCTCCTAGTTTATCATATGGCGGATCAGTTGCCAACCAACCATCTCTCGTTGCAAGCCAACCTGCTCATTTGGTGGCCTCTAAAGGCAAACAGGTGTCTGAAGCTGCCCATACATCAAATACGGGAACACCCACCAACCAGATGCCAACATTTGGAAACAAAATATATCCTAGTCAACCCCCAGCAGAGATTTTGCAGGAGACAGAAGCCAAGTCCATGACATTGCCTGGCATGCCTTTTGAGAAATTATTAACTGAAGTCATGAAAAGGATTCAAGTTCCCCCGCAACCAATGGATGGTCAAGGTGGTAATTTATCGGTCAAAGATTCTGGACATGACATGGAAGATGATCAGCCACTCTCTATTGAACCACTACAAGCTGTACAGCCTGCTCACTCTTCTTCTATGCTCAAGCCCTTTGATAATTTTAGAACTGGCAAGATGACTGAGCTGTTGCAGGTATAATAAATTTGAACTAGAATTTATTTTCTATTGATTAATCTATTGTGCACCTGAAGTTTGACATAGACTGATACACTGCACTTCTTTTCAAGGCTGTTCAGGAAAACATGAGGGAAACCCAAGCTTCTCGGACTGAAGAGCCAGCCACTAGTTCTGGAGAAACTGAGCATGGAGATAAAGAAATGCATGATTCCAACAGGCATTCTTAGGTATCGAGCGTGTAATACAACAGGCATTATTTCTAGCGGCTTTTGGGCTAGCTCACATGTTGTAGAGTGTTTTTAGTGGAATCAGGTAGATTTTGTAAAATGTTTTTTTGATCCTAAACAAGGTGAAGGAGCCAAACTGTCCTTGGAGGGTTATGACCTTAAAGTACAAAAGGCTGGATGGGATCTTCTTTGCTTAAACCTTTGGGATCAGAACTGTTTCCATTACTTGAAATTAAAGCTTTTTCAGTTTATAGATTTATAGAAAACCTAGCTGCATATTACTTTATGCTTTGCCGTAACTTAGTAAACAGGGAAGGATCAGCTTCTTGTTAAATATACACCGTGTCCTTACGATGCAATCATCCACGTATGTGACTCTGAGCTGTGGTCAAGCATATTATGTGGAAACTACATGTTTATGAATGGAATATTGAACCATCGGTGACTATGGGTAAGTGGCAGAGAAAATGGAGAAGGTTTGCAGATGTCTAATGTGATTGGTACTTGTTACGTGTCGAAATGATGATGGTGTTTTCCTGAACCCTGTTTGTTTTCAGAACTCAGATTAACTCTTGCACCGGGTAAAACCTGGATATGGATTAGGCTCCTGTAGACGCATATGTTTGAGATTGCAATAGCCATTGGTTGTGTCCCAGCTACAGCGGACAGGAATAAGACATACCTTCATCTCAACCGAAGGATCCCAAATAGACTTATGTTTGATCTGAACTGCATTCTGTATACGCATGGTAAGCTTTGCCGCAAATGCACAATGAAAGGTAGTGGCCAGCAAAAATGGGCACCCAATGATGATTCATGTCCACTGTGTACTTACCGCAAGAACTCTAGCATGAACAAAATCCAGTAATCTTTGTACTCCAATTCAGATCCTTATTATTATTTTTTTTATAATTGAGAAAGAGAGGATTTAAACTCTACTCTTTGGGTAAAAATCATATACTAACTAATAAACCAAATGTTTAACGTCACTTTGTTTCAAGAAAAGATTAGGCTTCATTCTACTACCACCTCATCATTGACAGACTATCACCTTGCTGTAACCTCCTCTTCAGGAAATACAAATCTTGATTGGAATGTTAGTGGTCACCCTGAATGAAAAATGAAAAACATAAGGAAAAACAAATGGAGAAAAAGGAAATCTTGATTTTCTTTCTTTTTTTTTTCCTCAACATTTTCTCATTTCTGTCGATTTTAGCACAGTATACTATTCTTGACTCTTGTGATATATTGTTCAATAGGAGTTTCCCATGTACCTTCTATACCAGGTCTTACATCATCAATCACCCAAAGAGAATAACCATTTCGTGAACAAACAACAATGGACCTAACTCAGATGTTGGATGCTCTCAAAATATAAAAATTTATAAGCCAAAATTTTTATTATCTTCAAACAAACCGAAAACAAAGGGTAATACTAACAAAGTAACAGATTTTCAAGGAAGCTTTGTGCTATAGAGACCATTAGATCCCGGGACTTGTATGGAACGATTAGCAGGGAAGGGAGGCTGCAAAAATGGAATGTGGCTTGGCACTCCCAATGGTTGCTGTCCTCCTGCCATGAAAGGTTGAGGTAGACAAAGCTGCAATGCTTGGCCTGGTGCACTTCCTGCAATTACAAAGGGTTGCATGAGAACAAAACAAGATAGCACTATATTTCAAAAATACAATAACTGGGTCATATCAATGATTGCATTCTATAGCAAAGGACAGTATTGAGGTCCATGATAACAAGGACAAGGGAAAAATTTTGTATGCAAATACCTTGGTGCTTTGGAAATTGGACATGATGCGGTGTCAATGGAGGACATGCAGGTACCGACGATATAGGTGCTGCACCCTGAACTGAATCCTTCATATGAAATGAGAAGCAATTTAGTAAAGAAGTAATAAAGCAACAGTTCTCTCATTTGACTACACAAACACAAGAGTACACGTCTGCAGTATGCCATTTTCTTTCTGTTTTTTAATCAACTCACAGCCACAGGCATTAAGTCACTGTATTACTCCAAGTGTCCTCACTTTAGCCACCAATGGACAGTATTAAGCAGATGAGATTGATTCTTGGGTAAGAGGGAAAAAAGATGAGAAAAAAGACATGGAAAAAGTAGGATGGTTAGACAATTCATCAGCAATGGTTGTCGTGATAAAATATTGTAAACTCAGAAAGCAAAATGGATCAAAATGTTTGTCCTGCTACAGTATATATGAACTAATAAATTGCTTATTGCTCTAATTGGGAGGCATCACAAGATTTGTCCTACCACATCTTAAGTGTGGATTGTCCTGCCACAACTTAAATGTGGACAAAGATTGAGCATGGCTAAGTACTGCTCTTGTGAATCTCTAGCAAATAGTCTACATTTTCTTTTATACACTAGAAACTATCATGTCAGAGTGCTTAATTGATAACAAGGCCATTTCATTAGTTTGCAGGCATCACATCTTACATGAGAAACAGGCACATAAATAAGCTGTCCCAATCGTCCAAGCATAACCTAGAGAAAGAAAGGGATGGATAGAGAGATTAGTGACTCATAAATGATGACTTCATCAGCAAGAAGGTTAAAAGTATCGTAATTCCTGCCATCTAGGCAGGCCAAAAAAAGGGCAGCTAAGATGACATAGGGGTGAAAGTTCTTTTTTTGCTTACAGCTTGAGAGTTTGGATTCAAAGATGCTGGTACAGCCTGAAGTGGATGATATTGACCGGCATATCTAAGTGGCTGTGTTCTGCTCCCCATATGCCCAACAATCTATAGCCAAAAATCAAGAACAATGATGGTTATATAATCAGAATTACAAATACTTCACAAATAAAAATAGTAATAACTCTCTAAGTCCTTGGACAGTTAACAAGATAGTCATATGAAGACTCAAACAGGCTACAGCCAAATGACACAAAAATGTTTTGCGATCTAGGAATTGGAGCATTAATTCATTAAAAAGGAAACAAATCAATATTGATGAAATCACTGACTCCTAAATCTTATGGTTTAAACAGAGTACTGACGTATATAAAGCTTGACAGATTTCAAATGCAGCCAAGTAAATTTTCACTCTAAAGTAATACTCCACCTCACAAATTTTTTGTTGGTCTACGGCTAATTTGGCTAGTTAGAAGTTCCTTCAATGAAGATTTTTCACTTTAAATTAACGAAGTACAAAAGCCTATAAAACACTTACAGGCTGAGAAAATTGAGAACCACTGACACCATTTGCAGCAGTAATGTTACCATAAGAGACAAACTTAGAAGGAGTGGATGAACGAGGTGCAAAAGAGCCAATCCCAACCTCTGGCTCAGAACCAACGACAGCTACCATAGGAGAGTTGCCTGGTACATAAGACACATTTGCTACTGTTGGTACTATAGGAGAAGCTGCTGATATGGCACTTGCAAAAGATGGAGAGAAAATTTTTGCTCCTGGATTGAGCTTAAATTCCTGATAAAAGAAATTACATCGAAATAGGAAACCATCACCATAGATAGCCACTTAAAAACTTGTACCAATAGTGTTGCCTAAGATAACTAACTAATCAAAGTATAAGCTGCTAAAAACTTGATGAAACATATGAAGTATGAGCCTAGTAAAAAATATCATGAGGGTACAATATTAAGGCATCAGCAACTCATAACTAATTTGTCATTATAAAGACATTCAAACTATTTTTAAATTGAGAGAAAGGGATCCACCACCATTTTGTCTGCTTGATATTACGAGTCAAATCTAATATGGTCTTTTTTTTTTTACCTTGGAGTTTTTGTTTGATTCTAAACTTTGTGAAGAGACTATGGCAGCTTGTGTAGCTAATTTACTCTGGCATGATTCTGAGGAAACAGCTGTAACTGGACTAGAAGATATTGAAACTCCAGAACAAACAGCATCTTGGTAAATGTCTGTTGCAGCGGGCCTTTCACAGCATTGATTTTCAAGTTTACCATCCACCGGTACATCAGGAGTTGCTCCATTAAGCAATAGCTTAATTGTCATCTCAGCTTGTCCTCCCTCAACAGGTTTTACTTGAGTAAGGCATGCATCCACTGCAAAAATTTAACAGTAAGCCTCATCTTCTAAGTGTATTTCGTCATACAGAAAGGTTGTGTTAAAAATATTAATGATCAAAAGTCGGCAAGCCTCATTTTCATATTTCTTCATATCATATGCTCATGGTTATGCAGTTAAAGAGACCAAAAGTATAAACCCCCTTAACCAGTTCTCCAACTTCAAGCTAGCATAACAGGTTGAAACCTTCAGCGTGCACCAAGGACACCAATACACAACTCCTTACCATAAAACTATTATTAACAAGTCAGAAGACTATTAACATTATGGAACTTTTACAGCTAAGACAAGGCATGCCATTTGTTCACCCATTTAGCAGAGATTCAGATAGTTTGAAACCTGGCTTAAGAGTATCAAGTGCAGAAGACTCACAGCTGGAAACTGAGTGTTTAACTTCCTTAGCCTGCAAAAAATTTTCATTATTGAGTTAAATATTGGCTTTAATCCTAGGTTTATGTGAAGAAAACAGGTAAGCTTGTCATCACTTACACTGTCTTCCACATGAAACTCAAACTTTTGGTCATATTCATCCTGCAAAAGCTGCAAGCTATCATCTCCAACCTGTCTGTCAGAAAAATAAATGATAGGAATGTGAGAGTAAGAAGGATATAGTGTTGCTTTACATATGAAAACATAAAAAAACTATACATTGGAATAATATTTTGCACATGTGGAAGTAATCTGACATGATGACTGCCATGTTATCTATATCCAACACAAGCATGAGGTAGGGTGTTCAACACAATACCTTGATTTGTTTCAAACACAAATTGCATTTGTTGAAAGCAATGAAATGAGAAATTATATTTGTAAAAACTACAGCTGGGGCCTGGGGTGGAAAGGGCAAGGAGAAAAACAGATAGAAGCTATATTTTTGAGGCTCAAGGATGTGCTTCATAAAGTGTTTTCTACTTTGTGGATGACCAACTTGCTTTGCAACTTTCCTTAACCTCATGTGAGAGATGTAAATGTAATTTCAGAGTTCTAGTTTGAAAACATTATAAGGAGAGAAGAGAAACAAGGGGATAAGTTAAATAGAAACACTAAACTCTTTATTGGGAATCTTATGAGTTAGAGACAAGTGATTCAAGTCCCAACTAGGTGAGACCAACTCCAGCATTTGAGCTTTGCCTAATGTAGTTGTTTTTCAGTGCATGTTCATGCCTATACTTACTCAGCCAAAAAAAGGCATTTTCTTTCTGCCAATACCATGATCTGAAATATAGTGTGGAACTTGACAAACAAGAAAAAAACTTAAAGAAAGGTATAGTACCTCCCAGCAACAGTGGCACCAAAAGCATCTTTGCCCTGCATTGACAAAACAAAAAATGTTAACTTTTGAAAGAGAATATGATGAAAGATGCAGCAACACCTCTCAGCCCAAGGTTTCCTACAGGAAGCATGCTATTATCGAATTGATTCATTTACTTTATATTTCCCTGAAGAAAGCACCAGTCCAGCAGATGGTCTAAGCCATATGATAGGATCTTCCACGACAAGCACAAAAACAAAAGCAATAGTTTTGTAACAAAAAACATTTAAGTGTAGTGGAAGCATCTAATCAAACTAATGTCCATCAAGAAGGTCAAAAGAATTTGTTAATATCTATTTGAGAGACTTCACATTTTTTTCCCAAAAAAAGCCTTACAAAAAGATAGTTTTGAACTGGAAATATTTACCTCCTCAATGTTTGTCCTATTGCTTTTCTGATACGCAACTTCCTTTGCATTTCCCATAGGATTCGGTCGCAAGTTTTCTCCTTCATGTTCCTTTCCATATTTTGCAGGTGTAAAACCATTCTCATTTTGGACTGAATTTCTGCTTTGATAGGTAAAATAAAATAAATCTATAGTAGCAAAAAAAGGAAAAAAATCTGTATCCTTGACAAAAAATTTTATCAGCTACCTTTTCCTATTATTTTTTCTTTTATCCATGGTAGACTTATTGAATTTGTTGGCCCCATTCAGTGGATTGGCAGAAGAAGGGACAATATCAAAAGCAGCTTCTCCATTACCATGAGCTGTATTTCCAGCAAAATCATCAGAAGGAAGCGGGACTCCCTATATACAGTATCAATACATGTCAAACAGATCATTCAATGTTACATCAACAAATAGAATTCCTGAGACCCAAGAAAAGGTCTATTAGAGTGATTATACCTTAGCAACAACTTGAACAAAATCACCAGCGAGGATAACAAGTGTCTCCACTACACTGCCATTTGCAACATTGGTGGCACATCTTCCCTTTTTAGTCAATTTTGCTTTCTTCAAAACAATACCTAATGAAACACAAACTAATTAAATGATCCTCAAAATTCAACATAGCAAATAGAGATAGAAACCTACAATTAACCAGAAACAATTAGTCTTAAGACAAGCTTATCACCTCTGAAAGAAAAGATTCAAGTACTTCATTTTGTACTGCTTTGGTTTCCAAAAGGTAAAATGTCACATTAATGGAGCCATATACATATTAGACATGCTCACTTAGTCTAATCTTTGCATTTGTTACTTGTTTCTTGCTGTTTTCTTTCTTCTAAAAACCAAATTGCAAATGACTTGAAAGTAAGAGACAATCAAACATATGCGTTCCCAATAAAAGCAAAAAGCAAGCAAGAAAAGTAACAACCAAAATGGAGCCTTAGACAAAAATGTCTCCTATCTGATCCCCTGCAACAACAATTCCCCTTACTCAAGTGCTAACCTCCAAAATTTTCAAAAAAAAAAAAGTAGCTAACTCTTAAAATTGTTACTTTAGCATAAAAACAACAAGAGCTCTAACAATAACAACAAAAAGTGAATTCTTTTTGATTTATTAGTAACCAAATAGATAGACAAAATGAAAACAGCACAAAAAAGAAGAAACCAATCTGATCTCATCAATCTAAAAACAAAATCACCATAATTAAATCAAAAAACCAAACCCAGATACGATTTCAATCCAGAATCAAAACCCAAAATTGGTTTCCAACAAAAAATTAATGCCACAAAACACCCAGAAAGCTCCAACCCCCCCCCCCCCATCCAAAAAAAAAGTACCATATTCTCCTCAACAGAAGCAGTGTGGAAGATTCCAGAGTAAACAGAGCCATCTTTCAAGTGAACATCCACTGGGAGACCAATGATGCAGACGGTAGCAAACAGCAGAGCTTCGTTCATTGAACAGTTCTCTTCCTCTGCTCTGTTTTTGAGTCCCATTTCTGTTTCTCTTTTACACCTTTTTCTTCTCTGTTTTTCAGTTGATTCAATTGGGATTTTCCTTTTTGTATCAAAGCTTGTAACTTTTATAGTTCTGTATATGTATATACATATATGGAGAAATGGAGGCAAGACAACTTGGTACGTGGAATTTGCTTCCTTTTTGGCATTATAGTGTTTTTTTGTTATTAAAATAAATTATATGATCAATAAAAGAAATTAATATTATTAATTATTATTATCGTTATTATTATTATGTACTAAAAATTATTTTAATATTTTAATTGGTACTAGAAGCTAAATTATATACTCCTAAGGTTCAATTAATTTTTTTTTAAAAATAATTTGATAAAAATAGCCATATACCTTTTTAAAAATTTAAAAAATATTGATTTATTTTATTATTATCAGTAAACAGTATTTTAAAAAGAAAAAATAATTAAAATTTTCTTAAAAACAAAAAAAAAGTGTTAAAAGGCCGTCGACGTGGCATTTGCTCTGCGAATGTGAAAAAGAAACATAACAAAAAAAAAAAAAAGAAACGTCAATCGAAACTTCCCAAAAACCCTACCAAAACCCTAAATCAAATAAATAAAGCTTTCAACTTTCTTCGTCTCCCAAAACCCCTAAAAAAACCCAAAACCTTAAAGAAGAAAGGATGCGAAGACCCAAATCGAGAACAGTTCGAAAAAAGCACAAGGAAGATGAGTTCCAAGAAATCGAGCTTCTAAACGGTTGGATAGAATCCCAGAAACCTGAATCCGGTTTCAACCCGTTGTCTCTCGACCCGCTCCAGTCCAAGTCGCCACTTGGCCGAATTGTCGACCCCCGAAGTGGCGTCGTTTCGTTCTCGAGGTACGCGGGAGCAAGGAAGTTTTATGAGCTGCCTATTTCGAAGAGGACGAAGAATGGGTTAGAGGAAGGTGGGTTTAAGAAGATGACTGATATACAGGTGGCGTCTTTGCCTCACGCACTTTGTGGAAGGGATATTCTCGGTGCAGCTAAGACAGGGTCCGGAAAGACTCTCGCTTTCGTTATTCCGGTTAGTTGTTTCTCTTTTTTGGGGATTTTTTTTTGAATTTGTGTTTTGTTTGGTTGTTGTTAAGCAGATAATTGGAGAAGGAAGTATTAATTTGATTGAAAATGAGCAAAGAGTTAAGATATATAGATGGTTCCATAGAAAAAGTGGTAAATTTATATATTTCTGTTTTTTTAATTTTTTTAATTTTGATCATTCAAGAATATTAGTATTTACTTTCAAGAAAATTTTATTTTGGATTAGTGGTGTTAATTGTTTGGTTTATTAGAAAGTTGGGAGGAAATTTTTGTGATTTTGAAATTTTGAGAAAGTGAACATTTTCTCTCTTGTTTTGCAGCTATGATGAGGTTGTTTTGGGGTTGGAGTAGCTTTTGATGGGTTATAGTGTTGAGTGAAGTCATTTGGTGTTGCTGACTAGATTCACTTATTTTTGTATTCCTTTGTTTGTTGGATAGAAAATGAACTTTGGGAGATGGTTTTCCTCTCATCAAAATGCTGTGATATCAGAACAATAATTAATTCTAAGTTGTTTCTTTAATGTTTCTGGACCTTTTTGACAATTGAAGTAATGCTGAGTCAATTGTTTATTTCAGGTCTTGGAGAAGTTGTATAGAGAAAGATGGGGTCCCGAGGATGGAGTAGGCAGCATCGTAATATCTCCCACAAGGGAGCTAGCTGGTCAACTTTTTGATGTATTAAAATCTGTTGGGAAGTATCATAATTTTAGTGCTGGCCTTCTAATTGGTGGTCGCAAGGGAGTTGACACAGAGAAAGAGCGTGTGAATGAGCTGAACATTTTAGTTTGTACTCCTGGACGTCTTCTTCAGCACATGGATGAGACTCCAAATTTTGATTGTTCGCAGCTTCAGGTCAACATAATTTTGTCTTAATTTGTTTCATTTTTTGATGGCTTGTCCTTCCTTTTTTCTTGTTTGTTATTACTTTCCAGTACTCTGTTTAGCTGCTGATTTGGGTAGAGTTTTCTGGCCAGGGAACAGGTTTTGGTCCTTGATGAGGCGGATCGTATTCTTGACATTGGTTTTAAGAAGACTTTAAATGCAATTGTATCACAGCTACCCAAGTGTAGACAAACAATGCTTTTCTCAGCAACCCAAACAAAATCAGTTCAGGATCTTGCAAGGCTCAGTTTGAAAGACCCAGAGTATCTCAGTGTGCATGAGGAAGCTGTGACAGCCACTCCCAATCGCTTGCAGCAAACTGCAATGATCGTTCCACTAGACCAAAAGTTGGATATGTTATGGAGTTTCATAAAGTCACATCTGAGATCAAAGATTCTTGTGTTTCTTTCAAGCTGCAAAGAGGTATGTTTGCATTATTTAATGTTGTGTAAACCTAACATATTCTGTTTAAGGGATTTATAATTGGGTTTAGAAACACAAGTGATTTCTGCTGGGTCTTCATTAAAAATTTTGGCTGATTGACTGGTTATCTCGGTTGGAATTTGATATCTTTATTTGATCTCATCAAATAGTGGTAGGAATTTATTAACAGTGCATTGAAGACAAGCAATTTCCTGATTTTTTACTCTTTTTTTCTTAGGTTTGTTAGGAATTTTATTGGTTGGAAACTGGAATTTTCAGATATAGACATGTTTTTCCGGTGTAGGTAGATGATGGAAAAATCTTCCCCTACTCCATGTCTTTCTAATTGCCTGATTGTTCCTCTGTTTTACATTTTAGTGCTGTTTGTGTTCATTTTTTCCATCATTAGGAGTAATGATAATGTGAAAATATGCTGTTTCAATAGGTCAAATTTGTCTTTGAAGCATTCAAGAAATTGCGTCCTGGAATACCCTTGAAGTGTCTTCATGGAAGGATGAATCAGGAGAAGAGGATGGGTATATATTCCCAGTTCTGTGGGTCTCACTCAGTTCTGTTCTCAACGGATGTGGCTTCAAGAGGTCTTGATTTTAACAAGGCAGTTGACTGGGTTGTGCAGGTCAAGTTTTGCTCAAGAAAAAATAGAAGAAGCATTCTTCATTCATTATCTCAATGGGCTTATTTGCTTGTTGTTACAGGTAGATTGTCCAGAGGATGTTGCATCTTATATACACCGAGTTGGCCGCACTGCTCGCTATCTTTCCGGAGGAAGGTCAGTTTTATTTCTTATGCCTTCAGAAATGAAGATGCTTGAAAAATTACAGGCAGCAAAAATACCGATACAGTTTATTAAGGTAGATTAATCACCTTATCTCTCTTCCTTTTTTGATCTCTTATTTAGAAGATCCTTATGTGGTGAATCACATCCTGATATCTGCCATTTCTATGCTAACCTTCACTATTATTATGCTGATTTCCCAGGCAAATTCAAAGAGGCTGCAACCTGTTTCTGGATTGTTGTCAGCTTTACTAGTGAAGTATCCAGATATGCAGCATCTGGCTCAGAGGGCCTTTATCACATATTTGCGTTCTATTCATATTCAAAAAGATAAAGAGGTTTTTGATGTGATGAAACTACCTATTGATGAATATTCAGCATCACTTGGTTTACCAATGACCCCTAAAGTCAGGTTCTTGAACCAAAAATGGAAAAGCAAAATGGAGTCAGAAAAATCTTCTTTTCTTGAATCAGAAATCTTTGACAGGGAGAATGAGTCAGTTATGCCAAAAGAAGAGCTACTTGTAGAAGATGTCAAGGACAACAAAGTGGACAAAGATTTTCTTCTGAAGGATGGTACACAAGATGTGGGAGAACAGAATACTAGTGAGATTGGAGATACTATGTATGCCCCTCATTCATGTCGTACATAGAGAGTAACCATAAAGATGGTCTTGCAATGATGCCAAATTATTTGACTTACATAGTAGTCAGTTGAATGGCTAATTCTTTTAATTTAATTGCTGATTTTACTGGTAGACTTTAGTTGGTTTGGTGGTAACATTCAGAGATCCTTGTCCGGTTTTCATTTTGAAAGCAGTTTTTGAGTTATGTTTCTTTCTTTAGGCCGGCGACACGGGTTTTGAAGAAAAAAAAGCTGAAGATCAGTGTTCATAGGCCTCTGGGGACAAGGGTGGTCTTTGATGAGGAAGGCAACACGCAGACTCCATTTGCCATGTTGGGTGACAAGAAGAGTGGCAATGTTCTGCTCGACCAAGGTATACATTATCACTTCTGTTTACAGAAGGTTATAGGCTTGTCAGTCTTGTGCTACTCTTCCGCAGCTTTTAATGTATGATCTGTTAATTGATTTGATTTGCTTTTTTCTGCTTTTTATGTAGTAAGGAGAAAATGTCATCTTATGACTAATTTAATTCTTAAGTCAACTAGACCTTTGAATAGTTTTAGACAGCATCTTATGTCATTCAAAATTTGGTGCTGCTTTTGATATGAAGGGCTCTCTTGCAGAAAGATATACTCAAATGATCTGTGTTTTCTCTGTTTTGACTATATTGAATGCATCGTTGCTTCTTGATGTTCTTTCATCTAATGCTTTTCATATTGCAGACAAAAAGGACGAGTTCTACAAGAAAATGAGAGCAGAGTTGAAGCAAGTGGACAAGGAAGACAAGCTTTTGGAGCGCCAACGGCTTCGGGAGAAACGACTCAAGCAGAAGATGAAGCGAAAGAAAGGGAGAGAGGAGGAAGAGGATGAGGATGATCTTTCTGGTTCAGAAGGAGAGTCAGATGCGAACAGAAAACGTAAGAGGTCTAAAGTATACTTCCATGGTGATAGTGATGATGGTGAAACAGAAGAAAATAAGGCCGATGCAGGTTTCAATGCTGATTCCGTATCTCTGGCAGAACAAGAAGAACTTGCTCTTAAGTTGTTAAACTCAATGCAGTCGTAAATATTATGAAGTTCATGATCCTCCTATTGACCTTATATTAGTTCATTGCCAACAGAAACAGCTGGAACCTTTCTGTTCGCAATTAACAGAAAATGCAATTTTGTCCTCTTCACAGCATTTTGCTTGTTTCCTCTGTTATTTACTGGGTTTAGCATATCAAAGTTTCTTATTTAATGATGAAAATAGTTAAATGTTTGAAAACATCCAGCATTTAATGTAAGTGTACCGGAGGTTTTTCCATGGGAAGACCAAGCCTCTGTTTGGGCTTTAAAGTATTTCAAGGTGGCACCATCGCTGAATGCTAACTTCAATATGTAGGTGGAAACATGAGTCTTAGAAATGCTTGGTTACTGCTCTTATTTTCATCTTAAAGTATGAGATCCATGGTGTTTGATAGGGACAAAAAGTTGAGTAAGAAGTTAGGCTTGTCCAAATTCACATCCTCCAAAACCCAGTTCCCTCACAAAAGGGAGAATGATCCATGGAAAAAAAGCACATTAAATCCATTATAATTAGCAATTTAAGCTTTAATTTTTCCATTAATTACTTTCTTTTGCTTAGTTTTGTTATCTATGACTTTCCAGCCTGGTTGCTTTCTGGGACAGTCCTGTCAGGAAATTTATCTGGCAATGAACCAACCCTGAGGTGGCTAAAAGAACAACCTGTCAAAAGTCTGGAAATGTTAACAGAACCTCATTAATGTACAAAAATAGAGTTAAAATGCTCTTTTATTCAAAAAAAGGAAAGTAATCATTGGGACAAAGTTATCGCCTGCCGATGCTTATAAAGAAGGCTACATTGCAGCTTGTGCTCTCAAATAGGTGACAGTTGCGGTACAGAGTAGCTTCAAATTATACTGCGATCTTCTTTCATTATCTTTTCTTTTCTCCTCCAATTTTGATCACTTCAAGATTTGTCTTTATCCATGTAAGCTTTGACTCCAACTCATCGCAAGAACTAATCCCTTCTCATGCAAAGTCATAAATTCTTAATATATTGATAATTTTCCTTGTTCAGAGTTAAGACAAAAGAAAATGGCCCCCCATTTATATAATCATAAAAAATTATATGCAGATATATACTTCTGAAAAAGAAATTGAAAGGTAGCAAAGTCATATATGAAAAGCATAATCAATTTGACATGTTTTAATAATATCCTACCTCATATATGGTTGGACATGGTGGACGCTGCCAAAAATAATCGGCATATTCTTAACACTTTACCAACCGAAAGTCACAAGCTCTGGTCTGCAACTTTTTCTTGCATTTCTCAATGGGTTTTTCTTCTTCATCATGTTCCTTGTTGAATCAGCACTTAGTTATCAGCTTTATCTTTAGCGTAACCACCATCGTCTCACATGTCAACGGATGCTTCACATCAATCTTCAGTTTTGGTGATTCCTTAACTGACACAGGGAACTTACTTCAACTTTCACTTTTAGAATCCAGCGAGCTTTCCCACTTTGATTTTCCCCCTTATGGACGGACCTTTTTCCATTCTCCAACAGGGCGATGCTCCGATGGCCGTCTGGTTATAGATTTCATTGGTATGTGTATAACCAGTTGAGTGATTACATGCTTTGACATTGGTCATGGTTACGCTATAGTTCCTCCATGGTTTTTGCAGCTGAAGGTTTGGGACTCCCGTTTTTACCACCTTATTTTGGAGGTCAAAATGGAAGACCAAAAAGCTTTCAGAAGGGTGTGAATTTTGCTGTGGTAGGTGCTACGGCACTTGATGATGCGTTTTTCAAAGAAAGAGGAATCAAGAACCCTTTTACAAATTTTTCTTTGGGAGTTGAATTGGGACTTTTCAGAGAAGTTTTGCCATCTCTTTGCTCATCTTCTTCAGGTAAGTTCTTGTATCCTTTCAGATTCTGTTTGATAAGAAGGAAAAGGGCCCGGTAGGGTAAAACATCTTCCACAGTTTACTTGTATGAAAAGGGAATTAAGTAATAAACTAATCAGTCAATTATCTCTTTTCATTTTCCTACCCGTTTTCCAAACAGTGAAGAAGCTTTGTCCTAATTCATTTTCGAGAAGGATGGGAAAATGAACTGGAAATTGAATTTCACAGTTAGTCTATCAATGAACCTTAATTTCTTGATCTTGCTTGGTTTCCTGCTGCTAATACGCCATGACTCACAGATTGCAAAGAGCTCCTCCGGGAGTCTTTGATTGTTATGGGAGAGATTGGAGGAAATGATTACAACAATGCATTCCTGGAAGGAAAAAACCCTGAAGAGATTCGAGAGTTTGTTCCTCTTGTTGTTCATACCATAGCTTCAGCAATCAATGTAAGAAACTCAGAGTGCCAGCAGCATACTAAAATAGTCACAAGTATTGAAGGCAAAATTTCCCAAAAACTTGAAAATTTAATGCTGGTTTTGTTTCAATTCCATTACTTCTATGTACTTGTTTCATTGGTTCAGTGGATCTGACATGTTGACAAAGTTTACTTGGCAATGGTGCAGGAGTTAATCGAGTTAGGGGCAGTCACATTTTTGGTCCCTGGAAACCTTCCAATCGGATGCATACCAGCATATCTAACATATTTTCAGGGTTCAGATAAAGAAGAATATGATCCCTTAACCGGTTGTTTAACATGGCTGAACCAGTTCTCTGAGTACCACAATGAATTGCTTCAGCAAGAACTTGATCAAATCCGCAAGCTTCATCCCCATGTCAACATCATTTATGCAGACTATTACAACATTGCAATGCATTTCTACCATTTCCCAGACCAATTTGGTACTTCCATAGTTTCAATTTTCTTACAAAATATATCAAGCTTATAGTATATCCAAACTAATGTTATAGAGGGATATTAATTAATTCTCATCATGATCATCAAATGTTGGCTCGTTTACATGAACTTTTTGCTCTTTCTGCATGATTCCAGGGTTTACAAAAACAATAGTAGCATGTTGTGGAAGGGGAGTTCCCTACAATTACAGCTCATCCATGGCTTGTGGTGATCCGCCATTGAGAACCAGCTGCGATGATCCTTCTTCATATGTTAGCTGGGATGGTTTCCATTTCACTGAAGCAACCTACAGATGGATCTCCAAGGCTGTGTTAAAAGAACTATTCACCATTCCTTACATAAACTGCTTGTGTCTTCCATTGACAGTGAACAACAAACTCATTAGTAGCTGAGATACTAAGGTGTTGAGTATTTATTTTCTCCGAATATTGGAGTATCAGATGTCAATTTAAATGAAAAAAAAATTCATTGGAATTAATTTGATATATATATGACATGCTAAAATCTTTGTTTCTGGTTTTTGGTTGATGATAATCAGCCTCTCTGGCAGTGATCAACATCACTTTTAATGAATCCAACCTACTTTGATTTGGAATGCTTATTAAATTCATTAAATCAAGTTATCTTTCCTTTCATCTTATATATTTTCCTCAATCAGCTCTTCGAACAAGGAAAAGAACTGTTGATCCATTTTGCAGTAGATGTTCATCATGCCTGCAAGCAGGCAAGAGTAAAAATACGATATCATGCTCTTTAATGAGAGTATTTCATTTTCTCCTCCCATGTTGTTGACTCATTTCATTGCAAAGATATTATGCATTTATCATTGAATCAAATGTTCGGACAACATAAGTTTTTTATATGAAAAAAATAGTTAAATATTACTTAAATTTGAAAGCAATCAGCCTTCAAAAGAAACTATCAAATGCAAGTAATAGGGCATTGCCATGGGGGACCGAGTTCTGCATAGGCTTCTAATTAGTTCTCTGAGCTTAATTTTAGAAGGTAGGTCATGGTGTGTTGGAGTTAGGCTCTGCTTGCAAAACCCCTTAGCGTGAAAAGTTAGTTATCATTTTGGAGAAGTAGTGTTGTGTGCTAATTACATGTCTTTTACTTGATGGTTATTTAATTTCTTTTATTTGGTGGTTATTTGATTTTTCATGTTTGTCGTGTTTGGCAATTAAAGCAAATGTAAGGGATAACCCACAAACGTAGTGGTGTGACAATACTAAGTAGTGTTATTTATTTTTTTAACATTATCTTTTATAAGGTTATAAAAATATAGTAATAATTTTTTTAATTAAAAAAAAATATTTTAATATTTTTTTAATATCTTTTAATGGAATTTGGGTTTTTGAGATGAAATGTCTATTTTAAAAATTAATGGACTCGTTTGAAATATTTACACTCCTTGATAACATAGCTTCAGCAATCAATGTAAGAAACTCTATCTCGACTTGCTGGAAATATTCACAAACTCTGAAAGCCAAAATTTTTCAAGAATTTGAAACATCAATGGAGACAACTATTGAGAAATATCACTAGGCAATGCGATGCAGGAGTTGATCGAGTATGGGGCAGGGACAATTTTGGTCCCAGGAAGCGTACCACTTGGATGCATGGGATCGTATCTAGCATTATTTCAGAGTTCAGACAAGGAAAAACATGACCCTGTAACTGGTTGTTTAACATGGGCAAACGAGTTTGGAGAGTACCACAATGAATTGCATCAGAAGGAACTTGATCGAATTCCGAAGCTTCACCCCCATGTCCACATTATTTATGCTGACTATTACAATACCGCGATGCGTTTCTACACTTCCCCAAACAAGTTTGGTACTCTCATAAATAGCTGTCTTATCAGTGTCTTTAACTCAATGATCATCAAAATTTGGGTTGTTTACCTGGATTTTTTCCCGATCATTCCAGGATTTACAGAAACTCTGAAGTCATGCTCCGGAGTGGGAGGTCCATACGGTTTCAATTCATCTTTACGTTGTGGTGACCCACCTCTGAGAACCTGCTGTGATGACCCTTCTTCTCATGTAAGCTGGGATGGTGTACATTACACAGAAGCAGCCTACAGATTGCTTTCCAAGGCTATATTAGAACAACTATTCACCATTCCTAATATAAATAACTTATGTCTTCCATTTACTGTTAACAGACAAACTTATCAGTAGCTGAAACATGGGTGACTGTTTATTTGACATCTTTTTATGTTCCTTTGTCAATTTATGGCAACAGATTTGGATTCAAAACAAAATCTCAATTTAAATTAGGTGAGATGTTACTTTCTGTTTTGAATTTTTATTTTTGTTCTTTTAGTGAATAAAATACATGTGAGTAGGAGTGGACCTAAGAATTTTTCTAATTGGTGTAGTTAGGATGATATTTAGAATTTTTTTTTTTCTCGATTCAAGATTTGTTGGAAAAATATTTAGATCAAATTCAATACAATTTTACTTAAAATAATATTGTTGAGTACCATCATTAATAGAAATTTGTTATTATTAATTGGGATTTGAGTCTTGTAAAACAGTTTCTCTTCGTTTAAAATATCTTACCACGACTTATTTATCTAAAATTATAAAACTTGTTAAAATTTACAATTCATTAGTATTAATTAAAATATTAAAATTAAATAAAATATGATCTTAGGTTGCAAATTATCAAGTTCAGATTGCTTAATGATTCACTACTATGTTTCTAATGTAAGCTATTTTGCAGCTGTTGCTGTCATTGATCCATCTAACTAAGCTTCTAAAATTTAATGAATTATCAGTACATTTTGGGGTCCTACTAAAAAGTTGGACAGGGACAAATTGTCTTATCATAATACCATTTGAAAATGACAAATCATACACACAATACTATATACAAAAAAGAGAAGCAAAGTAAAATTCAGATAAATTTTTTATATATAATAAAAATAAAAATCAAATAGTAAAATTATTAATCAAAACCTTAATTATCCAGATTTTAAGTCTTATAAAAATTCTATATTTTTACAGTTAATACTCTCGTTAATTCAATACGTTTTTCTCTTCTAATAGGTAATTAGATGCATGGAATTCAATTGCATATCATTGCAATCATAATAATTATGCAGACAATACTTTCAAAAATATGAAGTAAAATCAAGTTCAGAATTTTCAAATTAATTAAGAGATATAACATGTTTTCTATCTAACTTAGGATAATCACATAAATTTTTGACTTATTGATTGGTACGTATGTCTCCACATATATTTCCAAGGCTCTTATGTTACATATTTGCTCATTAGCAATTGCACTCTCAATCATGGCTACTTCTTCATCATTCTTACTCGTTGAAACAGCTTCCTGCTGTTAGCTTTCTCTTTGTCATAACCATCGATACTTCAGATCATGTGAATGGATGTTTTACATCGATTTTCAGCTTTGGTGATTCCTTCACCGATAATGGGAACTTAGTCCACATTTCACTTTCAGAATACAGGGAGCTTCCGCACTGTGCTTTTCCTCCACAGGGTAGGGCATATTTTGGTCATCCCACAGGGCGGTGCTCCGATGGCCGGTTGGTTATAGATTTCCTTGGTATGTATGTATATATATGTATAACCAGGTGAAATTAAATGTTTGATCATATGCCTTAACTTGGGTTTTATTTGTTTTTGCATGGTTTTGCAGCTGAGGGTTTGGGACTTCCCCTTTTACCACCATATTTTGGAGGTGAAAATGGAACATTACAAAACTTTCCAAATGGTGTGAATTTGGCTGTGTCGGGTGTTACAGCACTGGATTTTTCATTTTTTGAAGAAAGAGGAGTCCATAATCACTTCACAAACTTTTCTTTGAGAGATGAAGAGTGGTTGTTCAAAGATGCTTTGCCATCTCTTTGCCCATCTTTTTCGGGTTACCGTCTCTTTTGTACTTACCAGTAAAGAAGTTGTGTATGCCTGTTTCATTTCCAGTGAAGAAAGCAAAGTTGGTCTCTCATGGAAGTTCTCTCTTAAGAGCAAGAGGGGTTTCTTTATTTATAGTCGTTGAATGAGTACCTTGCTTTGATTCACGGACTGCAAAGAGTTCCCTCGGACTTCGACTTCGTTGATAGTTATGGGAATTGTCGGAGGAAATGATTACGGTTATGCATTGAAGCAAGGCAAAGAGTACGAGGAGGTTCGAGGGTGGGCTCCTCATGTCGTTCATAGCATAGCTTCAGCAATCAATGTCAGAAAACTCTCCCCCGACCTGTTGAAACAGCAATGCTGTTTTGGTTTACCTTACATTCTCTCGGAAACGCAGGAGTTGATCATGGGGCAGGGACAATTTTGGTCCCTGGAAGCATACCACTTGGATGCATGGGATTGTAGCTAACAATGTTTCAGAGTTCAGACAAGGGAAAATACGACCCTTTAACTAGTTGATTGACGCGGGCAAACGACTTCAGGGAGTACAACAATGAATTGCTTCAGAAGGTACTGGATGGAATCCGAAAGGTTCACTCCCATGTCCACATTGTTTATGCTGACAATCACAATACCGCAATGCCTTACTTAGTCGAGACTTAGTCAAGTGTAAATATTAATAATAAAAAGAATAATTGACAAATAAGAAGCATAATCTTAATAACCATTAAAAAGCATTCAGTCCAACCAACTATGGTATGTAAGACTGTGAATGGCAATTGTATTCAGCCTGCAGCAACATTGCCCATAGACTAGAAAACTCAATATCAAAAGGGAAGAGAGGTAAAGAGATGGGATGAAACATGAAAGGGAAGCAAAAGAAAAAAAAGGAAAAAAAAAAAAAGAAGAGGGAACATGACCCTCTCAGAGAAACAACCACAACATCGTACACCAGCCAATGAAAACCCACAATCTTAAAACATATCAAATAAAAGCAACACCTAGAGTGCCCTGGATCAGACTGGACCAGTTTCGAGCCACGGTACAGCAACCACACCTCACTGCAAAATACAATAAAAATAAAACACATTAAGCACAATATATATGTCAGAAATGTGAGCATAGACAAACTAGTCATTTCATTTGTTTTTTATTGACCTTCCTTGCAATTAAAGAAACAAAGGCTCAAAAAGATTCAGCATGCTTGCATTCTTTCTGCTTTTGCTAAGAGCCAGGAATAATTATGAAAGTACGTATAATTCATAAAATCATGTTTACCTGTTGTGGTTGTTGGTAAGCTCCTGGCTGCTGGTAATTCCCGTATCCAGGATAGCCCCCATAGTACATGTTAGGATCTTGGGGAGGAGGTGCATATCCATATGCTTCAAATCCTTGAGCATATCCATAATATCCACCATTCCACTGGGCCTGATCTGGTTGAGCCTGAATATATATAGCAACAGATTTCCCTCTTAGTTTGCAGAAATATATATAGCAAGGTTTTAATTGCAAAATACTATGATTTTAAATACAAAACCTGTTTGCTAGAAGGACTACGTCCCCATGAAAGTCGAATGTTTCTTCCTCCTAACATGGTGCCATTCAAAACTGATAAAGCTTGCTCTGCGCTAGTCCTGAAGTACATCATATTGCAGAATAAATTAATATAATATAATAATATTTCACACACTTAAATATATGGAAGTATTTTCTGCTTACCTGTTAGCATATTGAACAAAACCACAATGCTTGTTAGCAGGAATTTTTACATGAACTACCTCACCCAGCTGGCTAAATATTTGTTTTAATTGATCTTCAGAAACACTGGGATCCAAACCACCGACAAATATCTGCATTTAAGCATGTAAGAATTCAGTTGACCATACCATGAAATAAAGTATATTAATAAATATAAAATGGCTACCCACTGTGGTATTATTTGGATCATTCTCGCCAGGATTTCCTTGAGTATTCTGGTAAGAAGCTGCAAATGACAAATACATGTAAACTACCATTGAATGAGATGATAAAAAGAGCTCATTGCTTCTCAAAACTCAAATTAAACATTGTTGAAAAAAGCAAAGCATTAAGATAATACACTTACAAATACTAAAAAAGTTCAAAAAAATTTCCTCCATGGCATGCAAAAGAACCAAAAAATAAAACCACCAGCTATAAATCACTCAAAAGTTACAATTGCAACCATAAACATCTTTTGGGTTACAGCAACAATTACCATTAAAGTTAAAAGTATCAGATTAAATGGATTTCAACAGTAGCCCAAAAAAAAATCATTAACTACACTAAACTCAGGGAATCAGTAAAGGTCATATTCTTTCATTAACCTTTTAAAATAGCATGAAAAGGAGAAAAAGGAAAATTGAAATCAGAGACTCAACTTTTCTCCGCACTTGACATGAAATATTTCCTTTTTCTCCTTTCTTTCACCTATTTTTTGTAAGGGAGAGGGGAGGGAGGGAGGGAGGGAGGAAGTTGCCAGTGCTAAAATAGATGATTTGCAACTTCAACGTCAAAGATTATGTCTTAGTAGAAAGAACCTATCTGCTAAACTAATTTCAGAAATGTTTTAACATTCTCTGCATAGACAGAAACCTATAAAGATTATATTAGTCGCCACAAAATGGCAAGATGAAGAACATATTTAGAAACTAAGGAAATTCTTGTAAACTGAAGTGACACTAAACCTCAAATGACCAGTAGAAAACAGAATGCCTGGAAAATGCAATATTAATACTGGTAGATTCATACGCAGCTAGGCATTCACTATTTAGGTTTAGACAATGAAGCATGGACAAGTGATCTACTTCCATTGAGGTTAAATCCATTAACCGAAAATGCCTTTAACTAGAAGTTCCAGGTTTCTTTCCTGACTCAATTTGTCCTCATTTGTAACAAAGCAATACAATGAGGACAAAGTAGTTACTATAACTTTAAAAAGAAGCACAGATTTAAAATGCAATAGAACAAAACTTGCCCCAAGGTTCATTAACAAAATGGTGCATGATAACATGCACAGTACCTTTACCCATGGCTGCTTCACCTAGTTTCGAGCATTAGAGCTTGAATTTAAAGGAAACAAAAGGGAGTGCGTAAACATATGCAAGTATCAAAAGGGAACTGATCTATGATGAAATTAAAAAACAAAAAAGTTTCTGGACTGGTAAAAGAATCTAAAGAAAGATTTAAAGGAAACATGTTGGGAAAACTGAAACAAATTGAACTTGACTGGAATACTTAATAAGGAACTGGTAAAGTAATTTGCGAATGTAGCACAAATACTGCCACGTGAAAATGAAGCTTACGACATAAACAAAGTAACTGACCTAAAATGAGGCCACGCATTAAAGTGGAATCATTTCAGCTGATATCAGTTCCAGGCCCCCCAAAATGAGAGCCTCTTGGTGTCCTGCTTTAAGACAACATGAGTTCTATATAAGTTTGTGAATGTTTTAATACAATTAAACGTGCCCAAGTCTACAAAGGCAAACTGGAAGGAAATGACTTGTATAAATCCCGCCAATCTTCTAGTGCATAACTGAAAGAATTTGAATTTTAAGGACACTGTAACAACTAACAAGTAACAACTTCAACTCAGAAAATTAAAACCCAAAAATAAAAATAGAATAACCACCAAGCATTCAACTTGTCAAGTCAAAGTACTCTAGGTTAATCATGGCAAATAGAAACTATAAAATCCAAGCAACCTTCATATAGAAATCAAGATAAATAATGAACTTAACATAAACCACAAGATAGTACCTTTCGGATACTGCTGACCAGTGACTGGCTTCTTATTAGCAGCTGGACCAATCCGCATTGCCCTTGTTGAACAATAAATCCCGTTCATTTCGGTCATGGCACGAAGCTGCTCTGTTTCATCACCAAACCTCACAAAGCCATAACCTTTAGACCGTCCTGTAGTCCTATCAGTGACAACTTTGGCACCCTTCACAGATGGGTAAACAGCTTTAAAAGTCTCTTGCAACATATAATCTGAAACATCCGCAGCCAAATCCCCAACAAAGATTGTGTAATCAGGACCCTCATCTTGCCTCTTTTCCCCATATCCAAGTGCCGCCCAATTCAACCTAAAATTCTGCTCAGAATTCGGCATTGGCACCCCATTATACGACTGCAAAACCCTCTCAGCTGCTGCACGTGACACAAACTCGATAAACCCATACCCCTCTGGTAGCCCCGTTTGCTTATTCCTAATCACCTTAGCGGAAGCCACCTTAAAAAACCCAAAAAATATTAAACTTCCTTTAATTACCTTTTACTGAATTTTTTTTTTTGCTTAAGCGGTTAAGTTTAAAAGGAAAAGAAAGGAACTACATTTAAATAACAAAAGGGAATAATATTTTGATTTATTAAAATATAAATAAAGTTGCGAATTTTATTAGACTATATTTGCTCCGTTTAATTAAATTTTATTTTATTTTTACTATTTTACTATTTACTTAGGCACTCTTAAATCTTTTTTTTTTCTAAAATAATATAATTAACTAATTAATTACCTCTCCGGTGTGAGCGAAGATGTTGATGAGGTAATTCTCATCCATCCACTGCTGAAGATCACCGATCCAGAGGGATCGAATCTCGCTGGAGCCGGCGGTGGCTGAACCGGCGGGGTACTGCTGCATCTGACTGGGCGGAGGGACGGGTTGCGGAGCCCAACCGGAAGGGGGAGGAACCGGCTGACCTGCCTGCGGTTGTTGCTGCTGTTGCATCATCATCCACGGCTGCGACTGCGGTTGCTGCTGGTACTGCTGGGTTTGAGACTGATCAGCTGCCATGGACTGCGGCGGAGCGACGCCTCCTGCTGGTGGTTGTTGCATCATACTCGATAGATAGACAGAGGGAAGAGAATCGAAAGATCTCAGAGACAAGGGAAACCCTAGGTGGAAATTGAAAATCTATGGCTAATTTTTTTTTTTATGGACCAGAGGAGGCTTATCGGGGTGACACGTGGAGAAAAGGAATTGGGTGGAAGTAATGGGCTTTTTGATTTGGCAAATCGTGTATTGGTCTTGGAATGGGCTAGATTGGGCTGAGTTTTGGGCTCTTGTTCTGCACTTTTGTTAATAAAAAAAGTTTTAAAAAGGAACTTTTGTAGACAATTGAAATTTGGTCTTAATAACAATAGGAAATCTTTTAAAAAACTAAAGTAATTAAATAGAATTGAAATTTTGAAATTTATTAATACAATTTGATGGCATAAAAATTAATTTTAATTTATGTTTTTTCTCTTATGAATTTTATGACTTATAATTATGATGATTTAAAGATGCCAGTAATAAACTTTTCTTAATCTATTAGATAGGAAAATTTGTTTTATCATCCCCCTCTTTCTTGTCATCTTTGTTCTTTATTGATTTTTTTGGTTGAATAAACTCGACTTTCATCATTATTTTTAATAACATTGTAGAGTTATAAATTTTTTTTGAAAATAAGAATTGCAAATTTTGAATTTTAAACTTTTCTCAAATTTTTTTTGAATTTTTAATTTTATATAATATTTTAAAAATAATAATCAAAATTGAGTTCATTAATTTGACAAAAAAAATAGATATAAACAAAATGGGATGGAGATAGCATGTATTTGTAACAAGTTCCCTTTTACGAATATTTTTGCCTTTTCTTTTTTTGCAAAAAATGAGTAGAAAGAAAAAGGCAAAATAAAAAGAAAATAAAATATAAATAGCAAAAAAAAAAACATAAAAGCATCAAGCTGGTACGAAATGTTAAAAAATAATATTGAGCTTGTATATGGAAATTAAAGTTTAATTTCCCATGTCTTGATTTAAAATACACAAATAATGATAAGAAATAGAAGAATTTCAAGCTTGTTCTTCTACTTATTGTACATATAGAGAGTAACATAACATTGATCGGAGAAATTATTGAAAGCAAGTGATCCATTCGCTTGACAACTCTACAAAGCCAACATCTAGACCAACGAAAAGCACAAGTGATTAATAAAGGTTAGCACAAGTGAACCACCAAAGCTTGATTAGGACTTGCCAAACAAGTGAAAGAATCGAAAGAGGAAAGTAGCTTTTGTTTTACCTGTGTTTAGTTGATGGCCCCAACGTAGCCATTGATGTTTAAACAAGCCTTCGCAACTCCCCCTGCAATCATCTCATAGTTCTTCCTTGTAAAGTGGTAGCTCACTCCTTCGGTGCCTGTACCATTTTATGATCTTGGTGTGGACAACATTTTGAGTAGTGACTAACCCTTCAGTGGCATCTTGCTCAACTAGTCGCGATGCCTTTTTAAACAATTGAAACAGTGAAATGTAAAACAAAAGTATTAATGTCTCATGCTATGAAGGAAAAAGAAAAAAAAAGACATTATAATTTATAAACATTTTGGGCCAAAAATTCTTTAAAAGTAATGGAATCATTCACTAAAAGTGATATTCTAGATCAATCTTTGGTTGCAGTGTACTACTCAATCATTTAAGTGATTTAAGTAAAGAGTTTGAAAAATTATGCAGAATAATATTATTAAAGACTCTAATTGCCTTTGCACATATCAAATAAAAGCTTGTACTTAATTCACTAATCAATAATAAAAGCTCTTAATCATCAATAATGATTATGTTGGGAGGATAAGGAGAATGAAGAAGGTACTTTTAGTTTTTGTGAATAATATTCCTGCAAGAATCCATGAAGATGGCTTCAAAGGATTTTGGATAAATTTGGAAAGGTTGTTAATACATTTGTAGGGAGAAAGAGGTATCCTTTTACCATATTTGGATATTTTAATAAAGCTTGAAGAGCAGTCCAAAATTTAAATGGAGTCTAGCTTCTGAACCAAGGATTAGAGGTCAATATAGCTAGCTATGTTAAGATAATTAAAGCCTCACACTAGACTCATTGATAGTAAAAACTAAAAAATCTAGGTATTTTTGTGACAATTTCTAAAACTTTGACTTTTGAAACTTGGAAATTTTATATTCTTTTTAATCGAAACAAATTTTGGTGTTGTAATATGATATGAATACTTCAAATTGATTTGATTTTATCATTGAAAATAATTCGGGTTAAGATAAAAGTATCAAACTAGTAGGGAATCTTAAAAAATAGTCTTATAATATAGATATGACAATTTGTTTTATCATCTCCTTCCATCTCATTATCATTGTTCTTTATTGATTTTTTTTCGTTAAAGAAACTTGACTTCGCTCCTTATTTTTATTTTGTAATTACATCATAATGTTATAAAATTTTGAATTTTGAACTTTTCAAAAAGTATTTTTTTAATTTTAAATTTTATATAATATTTTCAAAAATAATGATTGAAATTGAGTTCATTAATTTGACAAAAAAAATCAAACAGATATAAACAAAATGGGATGGAGATAGCTTGTATTTGTAATAATATTAGGTTTCCTTTTTTTTGCAAAAAATAATAGAAAGGAAAAGGCAAAATAAATAGAAAATAAAAAATAAAATCGCTAGAAAACATAAGATAAAAGTATTAAACTAGTAGGGAATCTTAAAAAATAGTCTTATGATATGGATAATCATGGAAACGAAATGTATGATAAGATAAGAAAAGGAAATTAAATTGAACTTACTAATTCTAAGTGCATGTAGAAATGATCCAATCCCTTCACATAATTCTTATTGTAAGCATTATCTACTTGACTTGTAGAGGGAAATTAAAGATTTAAAATACAAAAATAAGAACAAGAAACAAAGGAATTCCATTCTTGTTTTCCCACTTCTTGTACATATAGAGAGTAACATAATATTGATTGGGTAAATTATTGAAAGCTAGTGATCCCTTCTCTTGTGAATTCTACGAAGCCAGCATCTTGACCAACGAAAAACACAATAATAAAGATTAGGTGAACCACCAAAACTTAATTAGGAATTGGCAAACAAGTGAAAGTAGTCTTTGCTTTACCTGTGTTTAGTTGACAACCTCAATCTACTCATTTATGCTTAAACATGCCTTGGCAACTTCCCCTGCAATCATCTCATAGTTCTTCCTTGTAAGGTGGCAGGTCACCCCAACGCCGGCATCCCCCGGCACCAAATTATGGTCTTGATGTGGATTACATTTTGAGTAATGGTAGTCCCTTCAGTGACGTCTTGCTCAACTAATCGCAATGTCTTTTTAAACAATTGAAGTAATGAAATGTAAAACAAACGTATTAGTGCCTCCTGTTACGAGGACAAAAGAAAAAATAAACATTATTATTTATAAACATTTTAGGCAAAAAATTTATTAAAATTGATGAAATCATTCACTAAAAGTGAGATTCTACACGAACAATCATTTGAGTAAATTTTTTTGAAAATATTTTAAGTAATTGAAGTAAATATGATTAAAGACTTGAATTGCCTCTGCACATACCAAATAAAAGCTTGTACTTAATTTAGTAATCAATAATAAAAGCTCTTAATCATCTATAACGATTATATTGGGAGGATTTGGAGAATGAACAAGGTATTTGCACTTTTTGTGAATAATATTCTTTAGATGTGTGATTGTACAGGGTATCCTTTAGATGTGTGAAATAGGCATATTATAATTTATAAGCATTTTAGGCCAAATTCATTAAAAGTGAT